AAACAACATTGGAAGAGATTTTTCTCCCTTTTTTTGCTGCCATTCTCCCTCAATTATTAGGATGTATTAATTGACTTACACAAATGGAGGAATGAGATTAGGTTAGATGGCTTAGATGAAAAGTTAAAATCTAAAGGCGTAATGGATGATTAAGATTTAAAACAAATGAAAAGTTTAGATTAAAAGTAAAATCAAGGGCTAGGATTAAAGCAAATGAATGGTGGAGATCAACTTAAATGTGGAGAAAGTCCAACCAAGCTTACCTATAAATAGGTGTGGAAGCGAAATGGACAAATGTTGGAAAATTGAAAAATTTAGGCAAAGATCTTGCAAAATTTCATTAGAATTCCACATAAAATATTATCTAAAAAATTAATTACCCAAAAACATCTTATTAAGCATAGAATTCAAGTTAGAAAATCGAAAATCCTAAAAAGGAAAATTAGAGGTTTCGACCGAAAGTTTGAAGAACAAGGGGAAGGAAGAATTCTCAAAGAAAACCAATCTTTCAAAGGTTTAATTAGAGCTTTAAAGGTAAGTTAATCTCATTTATACCATAAGGATATGTTAGTTGATGTCAATTATTGATTTGAAACCCTTAATTTATGTTTAGTTGAATTAATTTTGAAAATTAGGGTTATAGTTCTTAGTTAGGAAAAATTGGAGAAAATGATTTGGCTTGGAAATTCAAGCAATCGAGGTTCGAATATGTTAATTAAGATGAAAAAAATGTATTAGAAACAAGAATTTCTTTGCTTAATTCTTGGTAACACATTCAACCCAAATTGAAAAATTTAGGATTTTTTATTCTTTGATTTATTTGATGAATTATTGTTTGATTATGTGTTATTCAAGTATGAATAGATGATTTAGCATGAGAAATTACATAAAAATTAAAAATTTCACCTAATTCCCTTAAGCCCACATTCGGCCCAAATTAGGTAAAAATTAAGAATTTTAATGCTTTTGGATTATAATGGTTTAATTGATTAATTTCTAGTTAGTATAGTATAAAAGGATAAATTAGCATGAAAAATTTCATTGGAATTAAAAAATTGTCTTAGTTTACCTTAAGTATGAATTCAGCCCAATAGGCCCAAATTTAAGGTTTCTTGGGAAATTAGTTTATGAAAGCTTAATTAGTTAATTTCATGATATTAAAGTACATCTAAATGATTTAGCATAGAAATTGACATTGAAATTGAAAGAATTTACCTTGCTTAATTTAAAGGCACTTTCGACTAACCTTAGGAGAGTTAAGGTTTATGGCTTGATTTGTGTGTTATGGTTGTGATATGATTTGTTTGTTGCCATTGATGTGTATCATGTGATTACTATGTTGCGGAAGTTGTGAAATGAATGATTAAATTGGTGTAATACCTTGTGTTGAATGATGTTGCCAATGTGAGATTATGTGATGCTTACGTGATGGTTCCCTTATTTGGAATGACTTAGAATGGGATTCCAAGGTATGGATATTATGGTGTATTTATAGTATTGAGATATGCATATTATGGCATAAATGTACATCAATCATGTCATGCACTACATTAACCCATGACAACTATGCATTTACATTGAAATGCATATACATGCCAAATTCATGGAAAGGTTTAAAGTCATGAAAAGGATTTTCTTTCATGGATTTTTCAATAGCATTTGGAAATTATTTCATGGTTACATGGTTTTCATGACTTCATGGTTTTATGGAAAAGGCTTGATTGGTTTTTCATTATTTTCATGGTTCATGGTTTCATGGGTTGAGTGGGTGTAGACGTGCACTTTTAGAGACTTGACAAGGCACGTCCGCGAGCTAGTCCGATTTATCAAACATATAATGGAAACCCCGAAGTTCGAAGACTAGACATGTCTAAAGATAGAAATAAAATTTCAGAATGATCATGGCATGGATTTCATGAAATTGAAAATGATTTTTCAAAAGAACATGCAAATAATGTGTCATGTGCATTTCACCGCAAGGTGGACCTCCTTCACATAGCGAGGATCAACATTGCGTGTATCTTGGAGATGACTGCAAGGTGGACCTCCTTCACATAGCAGCTTATATTAGTGCTCGTTATTTTGGTTTACATACTAAATATGACCTCATTATTTTACATGATAGTTAAGGCCATGAAAAAATGAGTAGTTAGTTAGAAAGAAATTAATATAATTACATAAGCCATTTTTGCAATATAGTGGCTATGAACTGGTTTATGTAAATTAAGGATAGTTTGTATGTTAATCAAAATATCGGTAGTCGGATGGCATTACAACGAGTGAATAGCCTAGTTTTCTTTTAGTCAATTGCTTACATGTTAGCATTAATAATAAAATAAAAAAAATAAAATTGATGAGAAAATAATTGTAATAAATGGCCATTAATGAGAATAAAAGAAATTAAATATTGAATAACAAGTAATAATTAAATAAATTTATACAAACTAATAGAGAAGGAATTTTAGAAAATCGAGCGCTATAGATCCAATCCATTCAGTCCAAACAATTTAAATAAAATGCTAAAATGTGAAAATTTATAGTGTATTTTGAGTTGAAATTTAGGACCTACCTATCATTATAAGGCTTCCGTAGTTGAATCCATACCTAGGAATACCATAGGAAAGAAAAGGTGCCTTATTGGCTTGTATTCATTGCACTTTGAATATAAGTCAACGACGATAATATTCTCGACCTATTAGGTCTTAGGTTGGAGATATTACATGAATTTATAGGCTGAAGACTTTGTGAAGGCCTATTGGATATTTTATTTTTCGTGAAGTCTTATTTCGTGATTTGTGATTTTTTTTTTTAAAAAAATATTTCTATGTCTTGCATTGTGTGTGTTTATTTTATGTGATGTCGGTCTAGGTTAGTCTAGATGGAGTAGGTTTAGAACTTGATATCGACTTTGTTCTAACGATGGGTCTTTTATTTTATTATTTTATTTTTATTTTTATGGCTATTTTTTATAGTTAGTTTTAATTATTTTTTTATGCTCGCTACTAATTTCTTCTTCTTGATGATTTAGCACTTAATCTGGCCTTGAACCTAATTTTATATTTTAAAATGTCATGGTAGGTGATATAGACTTGAGACCCATGTCCATATTTTTTAGTCATTATGGACTTGTAGTTTTTTTATTATTATTATTATTTTATGGATTGGTAGGTGAATTTGGGCCTAGGCCCATGTTCATTTTATTTTTATTTTTTGTATTTTGTGAGATTAAGATTTAATATGCAATGGGCTTTTAGCCATAATTTTTACCTTTCTAAATGGGTTCCAACAATCCAATGACACATTAGGTGAGAGATTGAGTTTTACTTTAATCTCCAAATCACATCTCTTAGGACCCGATTAGAAAAGGCCTAAATAGTCAAACATACAAGTTAAAATAAGAAGATAATTTATATGAATGAATTTTCCTAAGCTAGAAACACAAGGTAACCTCATGGCGAGAGCACTTTAGGGTGATTCTAGTCTTCCCTAATTGTGTAATTAACCCCTTTACTTAAAACCCTTGAGAGTAATCCTAGATTTTTCTTAATTTTCACTTTTGAAAATTGAGTGACAATTCCACATTTACACATGTACATTTTTTTCATTTTTATGATCACCAAGTGGTCACTATGTGACACAAAGATTGAAGACTAGACATTGCTAGATACTATCAAGCTTGCTCGTTCAAGCCGTTGTAACTCTTGGTTAGGCATTTTGTCATGTCTTCACATGAAGTTATGGTTGAAATTTCTCTCTTGTTTCTCTCCTCTAAGATTCAGCGAGTAGAAAGGCTTTTTTTTTTTTGGCAAGTGAAAGGTCTTCTACACGTGGAACAAATCAAAACTCAATCAATTCATATGCAGTTGTGAAGCACTTGTCAAGAAACATCTTAGTATAGAAAAGTCGATGGACAAAAAATAGAAAAAAAATGAAGCAATGTCAACAAAATCATCTCACCTTAAAAGCTTAGGTGAGGTCTTAAGAATTATTTTATATTATTTTTTAACAAATCTTTTCAAATGAAATTTTTTTTTAAGTTTGAAACTTGTACGAGTCATGCTATTACATTGTGTTTAACTAGAAGAGAAAATGAAGGTGGTGAAATTAGAATTCATGATCATGTCAAAGAGCATAACTCAACCAAAAAGCTTAAGCTTTTAAATGAGATCTCAATTGAATAATTAAATTAAATATAGTAATATAAAAAGTTAAAAAGAAATCACTCATCATGAGTTTTAAGTCTCAATTATCTAACTTAAAGAGACTATAAAGATTTTGAAGTTCAAGTCACTTGACAAATTTTAAAAGATAAGCCAAAAGTGAAAAAGGTTAAGAAAGGACTATCCATTGTAAGGTTTAAATTTCTTGGATGGAATATAATCTCAACTATTTAAGCCAATAAGCAAATTATATAATGTATCAATCTACTTTGCTAATCAATTAAAAAATTAATTTTTTAATTGAAGCTGTCATATGTTAGAAAAACGCCACGTGACATGTCAGGAATTTTTTTACCACGTGGTTAATAATAAAAAACCCCCCAAAAATTTTATAATTTTGCATAAAAGAAAAAAAAGTTAAATCCTAGGTATAAAAATAGTAGGTTTCTCTCTCATGCCATAGGAGATCAAAAATTGAAGAAAGCAAATCGTCTTTTTCTCTTCCTCGATCGATGTTCTCTCCTGCCAATGAACCACGCTTTCCTACTGATGCTCCTCGAGTTAATACTCCATCTTTTTTCCTGACTCTCACTTGTAATTGTAATCCACCATAAACCGTGCTTTATGGATGAGGCTACTGATGCTTCTGATTCATGGTGTTTGGAGACTCTGCTTTCCTTCCTGTCAGATTTCCATAATTGACGTTGCAATATTTGATCAACTTTCATCTCTATTATAATATTTATATTTGTTAGCTGTGAATCTGAGGTGGCTGGAGAAATGATCAGTTGTGTTGATATCAGGATCATTAAATACCCTTTGCTCGTAGAATGCTTAGCAATGTTCAGTAGTGCTACGTCAAATGCTTGTGTTTGGAAAGGGAAATGGATGTATGAGGTTCTATGGAAACTTCTAAGTGTACAGCAGCTTGGATGGGCTACTCTTTCTTGCCCTTGTACTGATCACAAGGGTGTAGGTGAAGCAGATGATTCATATGCATTTGATGGAAAAAGTTTTAGTAAGTGGAATAAAGATGCTGAGCCATACGGTCAGCCATGGGTTGTGGGTGATGTCATTGGATGTTGCATTAATCTGGATCATGACGAGATATTATTCTATAGAAATGGTGTATCTCATGGAGTGGCCTTTCGTGGTATCTGCCAGATGGGACCTGGATCCGGGCATTACCCAGCAATCTCTCTTTCTCAAAGTGAATGCTGTGAATTAAATTTTGGGTCTCGTCCCTTCGAGTACCCCATTCAGGAGTTCTTTTTCCTTAAAGCGCCTCTTTCTGCAAATCTTTTGGTTATGCAGTTGCTTCAGTGCTTATGAAGGCTGTCAGATACGCAAGAAATGGAGCAGGCTGAAAGTTCTTTAGTTGGTAAATTAAGGAGACTGAAGAGATTTGTGTCACTTGAAGAAGTATTTTATCCTGTCTGTCATGAGATATGTGAGGAATTCTTTTTTTTTTTTTTTCAGCTAATTTTTTCAATCTTTTTTATAAAATTTTTGCCATGTGACAAATTAAAATCTGACATGGCATACTACTAACCAGACAAGTGGCAATTTCAATGGAAAAATTAGCCGATAAATAATCGGAGGAACCACAATAAGAAACCGATTAATGAAAAGAACTATATTAAGAAAAATTAAAAAATACAGAAAGAGATTAAACAAAAAAAATACATATGTGGTATTAAGAAAATCATAAGAGTGGAAGAACATTTGATACAATTAAACCCTTAATCATCAAGAGAAATCTGCAATTTAATGACTTGTAATTCATGAATCTGAAAGGCGCAACACTTTTTAAAAGAAAAAAAATATTTCTCCATTTACAAGAAAAAAAGTTTGAAGAGGCATCTAGTGTTGTTTTGCAAATGGATGAGCTTTGAACCTCCGTGGAAGGAAAATGGCGTGCATGAGTAACCTTTAGAGTTAGAAGAGCACCATGCCTGCCTCCAATTTTTAGCCCTTTAGCTGGACTCAAAATTAGGAGAGAAAAACCTGTCATCAAGGCATCTCCAATATAGTTTAAGAAAAGAAAATAGAACAAAAAAAAAAAAAAAAAAAAGAAGCTAAACCCACTTTTTGCACCATTTATTTCATAAATTCATCAAATAAATCTGTTTACTTTCAAATTCAATCAATTAAATATGTATGGTCATTTAATTATAATTTTTATAAAATTGATAATTTTTATGTTAGATCTAGGGATGACAATTTGCTCGTCCCAACAAAGCCCCGTCCCCCGTCCCCCCCTCTCGGCGATCAACGTCACGATTCCCCAAGTTGATCGAGGAAGAAGGTGGGGCACCTTGCTCCGTATTAATTTTGAACGGAGATAGGACGGGGATGATATTTGCCAGCCCCGTCGCGTTTGTTCCGCTCCATTCCCGAAATTATAATTATATCCCATTTAAAATCTATAACTATTAACTCTTAGTGCTTATTTTCTATATGAACTATCATTTTTTTTGCTATAATTTAAAATTTGATAATAGAATGAAACAAAAAGTGACAGAAACAAAAAATTAAATGGGTCACCAATATCCCACGGGGATCCCCACCCTCATTTGAGACTAAGTTAGTATGAGAAACATTACCCCACACGAGGCACAAGATAGGGATGGGACAAAATTTTCAATAGCGGAGATGGCCATTACCATTCCTAGTTAGATCACATAAAACCATTACCATTCCTAGTTAGATCACATAAAAATATAATGTACGCTTGTATAATTCCTGCATATGGATCCCACTTTATACAGTCATATTATTATTTTTATTTGAATTAATGTATAAAAATTTTTGATTTTGCAAAATAGTATTCAGTTGACTGGAATTGGAAATAAACGTGTTTAATCAACCGAATTGAAAACAAAAGAGCTTATCTGCTGAATTAATAAAACACAAGGTGCAAATAGCGAGTTTTGCTCAAAAAGAGAAGGAAAAAAAAAAAAAAAACACCAAGCTCGAACACGTTTCCATCTTTTGCAGGAAAAAAGTTACCTCTCATCAAACCAAATTGTTGTCTTAAAATATGCAACAGTTGGTGAATTCTAGGTTCAGTTTCTCTTGAATCATATAACCATTAATAAACGGGCCCAAACAAAAACTAAACTTCGATTATCATGAAGCTAATATCAAATACAAGAATGTCATGTTAGACAGCTAGAGCAGTATATCACATCCTGAGCAACACTACATAGCCATAAATATTGGAGGTATAAACCATTTGGCTATTTAGAACCATACTGATAGACATTAATAGCATAAATCACTCCTCTTTCTAATAACCAAAAAAAAAAAAAAAAAAAAAAAAAAAAAAAAACCTTGAACATTCAGATGACAGCCCGGACCAATTTGAAATGGAAGAGGATATACTGGCCACTATTCGAATTTCTTGATCAATGACAGGTCATTTAGCATTTTATCGATTGCTTAATCATCATGAGCTGGGCCTTTGGTCTACATAACAATTACATTTAGTTAATCAGCATTCAAATCAAATTTCTAGATCAATGACAGTTCAATCAACGTTTTCTCAATTGCTTCATCATTGTGAGCTAGGACTTTTGTGCACATTACAAAGACATTTGGTGAATAATCGTGCTTTGAATGATGAGAATCACATTATAATGAACAAAGCACTTGTCAATTGCTTTCTCAAGTAGTGTCTTATGATACCATAGAAAAGGCTGCCATCATTGTCCAAGAAAACCAATAAAACCCCAACAATGTGATCAACATAAGATGAGTTTTTGGTTTGATTTTTGTTCATTTTGTAAATTGGAGAGGAAGGAGAGAGCCCAGATTGGTAGCATGCATCAATTTATTTTGTTTATCTCCACTGTTGATTTCATTGTAACTGTATATTGGTCTAAAGAGAAGTAATCTTAAATAGAAGGACCCAACTAATGCCTGAAATAACCAACCTTGATAGAAGGTACCATGGCAATAGCTTCCTCAACTGTGTTCAGGGCAAAGGTTGCCAAGAACGCAAAGCTGCACCAAAAAGAATAATAAGTAACGATTCTTTTAGCCTGAGAGGAAACTTACAAATTTCAATTTATGTGTAATTGTGCAATTTACCTCCAATTCAGGCAACTGGCATGGGCTAAGAATTCTGAAAGCTGGTTAAGTTTTCACATGTTGCAAGATAATAGAAATTTGAACACAAACTATAAACCAATTACATGCATCATCCCTAACTAACAAATCGACCCCATCTTTTACTGATGAAAAACAATTGCCATGCTCCTTTGATCAGCCACTCAATAAGTGTGACCCTAGAAACTTAAATCCATGGTAACCAAACACAACAGGATAAGCAATAGAAAAATCCCCAACATGAACAAAAACTTTAGTATTTCACATTATAGTAAGTCTTATACAGCATACTAATATTATAATTCTGTAAAAGTTCAAGGATGCTCCCGAACTTGTCTGACAGCATCAGGGTTTTTGTAGCCTAAAGCGCTTCACATACTGCAGTGATTTCTCAAATACTCTGCAATGTAAATACAAACAATACATAAACACATTTAGCAAGAGAAAACATAATTTTCAGAGCATGCAAAATCTCCTTAGTTTTCACTCTTGTTGGACAAACCACTAGGGGCAGATCTTGGATTTCTTTATTTTTTCCAGCAGGGCAAACTGTACTGGTAGTATTTAATTTTTACAATGAAGTTACCCGCAAAACATTCCATCATAGACCCCCTAGTTCCTAAATTCATAATTTAGACTAAACCTCTTATCAAAATAAGGAATCGACTCATCATAATTGGGGAAAGAGGAAAGCTGGAATTAGCAGCTACATGACCATAAGGTTCTCACTGCTGTTAGGATATTGGGAACATCCAGTGCCCTGAATGGGTAAGTCGCCAATCCCTAAAACTACTATGTACTGTACTTTATCCTATAGTTGACTATGTACTATCCTTTAACTGTTGGATTACGGGTTTAGATAACCTCAACAAGAGAAGAAGAGATTGAAAAAATCTTTGCTCGTTTAACTTTATATATGAAAGGAACTTTCCATGATTCTTGTAGCAGCCCCTCTAAAATCAATTTATGCCATTCAACTTAGAAAGTCAGGTTGCAAATTTATGCAAAACAGGTTAAAAGCTACTCAAGCAATATAACAACACACAGCTATGGCAAGGAAAACTTGAAAGCGCGAGGCGTAGTGTGGAAATATTATACAATAGCTATATTACTTGCCGTGATACTTGATTCATGGGATCATCAGACATCTGTTGAAGCTGCTCATGCTTATGCTCAAGAATTAAAGCAACTTCACAATTCATTAAGCACTTGGCCTTCAAAAACTCTATTAAAAAAAAAAAAAAAGAGGTACCCATCATAAAAAATTTGTTAAATTGCACAGGAAAATTTATATCAAGACACAAAGATAGATTATTACCATCTCCGATTTTGAGCTTGGCCGCATTCTCTTCCTCTTCTCCAGACATACTGTGACTCACAAATAAACCAAACACAACTAAATAAACAACAAGAAGAAATATTTTTTTCGAACTTCGTCAAGATCCCTAAAAACAAAACCAAAAGTAAAACTATATATATATATATATATATATATATTCAGACACCGAAAGCGGTTAGATGACGTCAAGGAATTCAAATCAGATTAGATTAACCAACTAGTTGTCAAAGATTACCTTAAACAATTTAACTTAACGTTTCTTTTAAGGTTTTTCCTTTTGGAGAGAGTGAGGTTTGGATGATCTATTTGAGATATTTTGTTTCGTTTGAGAATGAATTTATGTTGGCAGCGTTTCCTTTTAAACTTTCTGGCGTATACAAATCAGATGTAAGTGGGGTTAAAGCGCACATTTACGATTGGTATATAGCCCAACTGCATAAACAGGGCGAAAAGAATATGAGCTTAGGTTAATCCTTGTGGCAAAATTTTCGGGAAATTCTTGAAATAGAAACCTAGTACCACATATTTATTAATTGACAATAAAAAAATTGTTTACTTGAAAATGTTTGTTTCCTGTTTTTCTTGTTTTTTTGGAAACTGGAAAAAACGAAAAATGTTGTTTTCCAAATTCTACACAATATATGACCTTGTTTGATTCACCTAATTTTTTATGTCACTTTCTTTTACCTATTTTCAATGTACTAATCAAGGACATTGTTTTTTTTTTAAAAAAAAAATTTTCTGTTTGGTATACTTTTTTTTTTTTTAATTTTTCATGAAGAAATATTTTTTAAAATAGATGAAAAAAATTAGAGATGAAAACTAAAAAAAAAAAAAAAAACTATTTTTAAAAAATAGCTAAATAATTTTACGAGTTGATTAGTAATTTTTGTAAAATATTTTACAGAATTTCATGAGTTTAAACTATTCTTTAAGAAATGAAATAAATTTTTAGATTGATTTAAAATATATTATGATGCTATTTTTTTTTTTTAATAAAACATATGAAAAACAAACAGAAAAATCAAGAAAAATTTTAAGCAAAACAAACCCATCTACTTTCTACTCTCAAAAGCTATGTAATAAAGTATTAAAATCCTAACCAAATACTTTTGATACTAATAATAGCTTTGCTTTAAAGTTTTTTTTTTTTAAAAAAAAAAAACAACAAAGGGCTAAACATACTCCAAATTTTACACCAAAATTTATATCCTTAATAATTAGTCACATGATAGTTATTGGTATAGCAAGTTACCTTAATCTATATTATTATTATTATTATTATTATTATTATCATTATTTTCTTTCTAATTTCATGTGTGTTAATCTCTCTCTCTCTTTATTATTCTTTAATTGCCTATTCAGTCAAATTTATTAACAACGAGTCTTTGCGCGTTCCTCTAATTTCACTTATGTTAAATCTTCCTCTCTCTTTTATTATTCTATATTTTTGCATTCAATCTAGTTTATTAGTGATAGAGTCATTTTATATTGTCCTACCTTTCTTTAAATCTCAATCAATATGTTTAAACGTTTTGCTTCTTAATCACCTTTTCCTCTCCACTTCTAATAAGTCACTTTCTCTCATTTTGATTCACTAGATCTATCTCTTTGCTCTCAAATATTTTGTTTAGATTTAGAATTATTGAGTTAAAGAATCAAGAATTTTTATTTTCCAATCCCACATTGTTTTGTCTTTCTTTGATCAAACTTGAAGTTAGCTAGAACACGGGAGTTTGAGTTCATACTAGATTAATGGCCGCACTACACTCGCGGTAAAATGAATGCTAAATGACAAACTATTCTTGTTTGTGTTTTTAAGAAGGTAAGGAAGTTAGAAGGATTTTCAATATTTGAATTTTTTTCTTTCGTTGTTTTAATGATAGATGGTTGTTCAAATAAAAGAACGAAACAAAAATTTGAGTGATGGTAGATAGTATGTTTTTTAATGGTAATAAAAAGAGTATAATATCAATAAGGTTTGAGCCACAAAGCATAAAGTACATATAAGCTATAAAAAAGTTTAACCAATTACGGCTCATTGTTTTATTCATTCGAAAGCATGCAAGCATATGTTTTCATGTAACTAAACAACTCGCGAGATGTTTGAGAACATGTTTGATAAATATATTTAAAAAAAGAAAAAGAAAAAGAAAGAAATTGAATCAATAATCAAAAGCAAGTGGCTAGTCTTCATATGTTTGTTCATCGAAAGTAATGTTTATTTATTTGTTTGTTTTGAAATAGTAAGTAGTCATATGGTACATCTAGATATGAGGTTGAATGGAAAACTAAACATTTATTATCAAACTTATGTATTAGCAATGGGTATGCGGAACAAATTATAAATAGTTGTTCTATTCTCATTTTTCAAATTTGGCTTGCCCATGATGTATTAACGGAAAAACGATAATTATTATTAACACATGAGATGGATGAAATTCAAGTATTTGGTAGGTTGTTTTGTTGCAAGGATTAGGGGAATCATGCAAATGAAAAAAAAAAAAAAAACGGATACAAATAAGCAAGTTTAGCTAAGAACTTAGTAAAACACCTTTTATGTGATATTTATAGACGTGGAAAAAAAAAGGTAATAAAGTAATAATAAAAAGTACTATATTACTTAAAGAATAATGTTGAAAAAAATTTAAACATGTACAAAAAATTGCAAATGTTGAGATAGATATGATGTAACTACACACATAAAGTAAAAGAATAAGATAGAGAATATCAAGTTAAACATAATTCATGGATAACAAAATATCAAGTGTAGGTATGTTCCAACATATAAAAAGTTAAAGAGCTTCTAATCTATGTGATGAGTAAAATTCTGTAGTTCTTCATTTTGTTGGTAATCATTCAATAATTTTTTTTGGGTGTGCCATGCATGGAAGAGCTCCTATTTGTAAAGAATTTTTTTAGGTATATTCCAATATTCTAGTGTAGTGTATGAAGTTG